AGCTGGCGGGGAGGGGGGGGCCTTCCCCGCCCCATTTCCCTGTGGACCAGTGGACAAGAAACCAGAGCTGGGTCGGCCTAGAAGACTCCACCACAGGTCCGCCCTTTCCCAGAGCCTGGAATTCCAGAGGCGTTTTCCGGCCCTGACAGCTGTCTCCCAGAGACATGTTCTCCCTGTGGGCCTCATGGCTACACCCTCCAAAATACCCCTGGGATTAACTCCCACCCTGACCCTACTGCTCCCAAGAACCCATTCACACCCAGACACCACCTCGAGAAACAACTGGGCGAGACTGACAGGGACTCATCGGCCATCACCCGAGACTGACAGGGACTCATCTGCCATCACCCGGCCCCCAGGCCGCCCCCTGGCCCCAGGCCAGGCCCTGACTCCTGCCATCTCAGCCATCACTCTGGCTGACACCCAGTGGCCACACGCATCTGTACCAGGCACACACAAGTAGTGCACCCAGCCTGGCCCTCACGCCCTCTGGTTTGCACACAGCCTCGCACAGCTGGGCAGAGCCTCACTCGTCCCACCTCCTCCGGGCAGCCTTCCTGGAAGCCTTGCCAAGTTGGTGCTGAGCCTTAACTGTCTGAGAGCCCATTCTGTCCTGCTAGGCTGGGGCTAGCACACAGTAGGCACTCAACAGGGGCTCACCCACGCTGAAAGCAGCCCAGGGCTGGCTGCACTGCAGCCTCGCTGGGCAACCCTGGTGCGTCCTGTCCTCTCTGGGCCTCAGTGTCCCCAGGAGCCTTCTGAGGACCCTGAAACCCCCCACCAAGTGTAGACTCTTGGGGATCTGGTCTAGGAGGAAGGAACCAGAGGACTGAAGGTTCCTTCCAGGAGGGTCTCCACCTCCTGGCTCCCTCAGAACGTGTTCCTGTCCTCAAGGTCTGCAAGGAAAAAACAAAAACAAAACATCGGGCATGGTTGCTGCCCTAACGGGAAACCCCCCTGGAGGATCCTGAGCTGCCCCAGGGCCTGTGATCCTTGAGGGCAGCTATGGCTGGGGCGGGGCAGTGGCCCAGCCTAGCCTCTGCCACAGAGGGTCCTGCCACTCCCCTCCCTCCCTAAGCACGGCATTCAATGCCTCTGTCCTGCCTGCAGCTCCACAGTAGACCCTTCCCAACTCATCTCCCACACAGCCTTCTGGCACCAGATCACGAACCAGCCTCAGGTGTGCCACTTCCCACCTCCGCCTCTTTGCCAAGGCCTGTTCTGTCCCCAGCTCCACCTATGGACCCCACACACAAGGCCCAGCTTGAATGCCACCTTCTCCAGGAAGCCTCCCTGGACCTCCTGAGTCAGGGAGTTCTCTGCGTCCCTGGCCCCTTCTACCACTATTTTGGCCCTCGGGTCCACCAACCTCCGGCCTCTGTCTTCCCCACTGGACTCTAAGGCTCTCGAGAGCAGGGACTGCACTGCTTGCCCACCACTGCCCCTCCCAAGGTGCCCAGCCCAGGACCTGCCCCGTCTAGCATGTGTTAAAAGAAATTGCCTCCTCGGAAAAGGAGAATGGCAATAGTAATAGTAATAGCTACCCTTCCTTGACCACTAACTACAGGTCAGGCAGTGAACTTTATGGCTCCACCCAGGTAACGCAACTGAGGCCACGGCTAGGGAGTGATTGCCCAAGGTCACTCTGTTAATGAGAGGCAAAGCCCAGATTTGAACTCAAGTTTGTCTGACTTGGAGATGCACACTGGGTCACAGGGTAGAGAACACGGGGGACAGCCTGTTTGGCCCATGGCCAGTGTCCCCTAGGTGTGAGGGCACCTGAGGAACTAGATCACAACACAAGCCTCTCGAAGAGCCCAAAGCTGCCCCCTTTCGCCGCCGTGCCCAGGTGTGTCTGAGCCCTGGCAGGAGTCTAGCCCATGAGAATCCCTGGAGTGATCCCAGGAGGAGGGTACCTGCCCTCAGTGGACATCACTGTCTCATTGGAGATCGCAACAGACGCCAATGTGGAGGATGGACCAGGTGCGGGGGGAGGCTCACTTTGGAGTTCCTCCAGGAGGAGGTGACATTTCAAAGCCGGCTTCAAGGATGTTTTGCCTTCAGGTAACCCATTGATGAGGTGAGGGAGATGTGTGTGTGTGTGTGTGTGTGTGTGTGTGTGTATGTGTGTGTGAAAAACAAGGACATGCTCAGAGACCTGTGTTGGTCAGCAGAGGCCGGGTGTGAGTCAATGTCACGGCACCGCAGGATGGAAAGGGAAACGAGGGATGGATGCGTGGATGGACAGGTGGGAGGGGGGATGGCTACAGGTGTGGGCGGTGGATCAAGGGATGCTGAATGGATGGGGTGGGTGGATGGATGGATACATGGGAGGGTAGGCGGATGGAGTGGGTGGGTGGGTGGATGGATGCATGGGTGGGCAGATGGATGGATGGATGCATGGGGGTAGGCAGTGGGTCAGTGGAGGGGCTGGTGATTGGGTGATTGGGTAGCAGATCGAGAGATGGACAGGAAGTAGGTGGGTAAATGGGTAGGCGGAGGGTGAGCAGAGGGATGGACAGGGAGTGGGCAGAGGGCAGAAGGACAAATTGGCAACTGCACTGGTAGGTGGATGAGCCAGTGGACACTCAAGAGATAGAGGAAGACCAATGAATGGGTCAACAAACAGATGCATAAACCGACCAAAAGCCCAGCCAGACTCTGGGGTGCAAAGGGTGCACGCTCCCTAGGGAGGGGCTGGGAGGGGATGATAGATGGGACCAAGCCAACTCAGCTCCAGGCTCCCACTCCCACTGGCATCCCTGGGTCCCCAAGGGGGAAGTATTTCTCTCTAGCTATGCCCTGCCCCTTCTCTCTAGCTCCATAGAGAACTCCCTGCCCAGAAACTGCCTCCTTCCTTCAAGCACCCCTCCTCACCTTGGCCCACCAAGTCTGCAGGGGTGAGTTAAGGGAGCAGCTGAACTCTATGACTGTAGCCCAAAGAGCCCGGTTCCTTCAGGATAGGGGAGGAGATACTGAACTCCAGGCAGTCTGTCCCCGCTAGCAGCTCCCAGACCCCAGCTGGGAGGCATTTGTTCTGCATTCTGCATGGTGATTACAGCTCTGCCAGGGTTAACCCCTCCACTCCTGGGCACCACCTCTTGAGGGGAAGGAAGTGGACTGCAGGAAACTGGGGGAGGAGAACGGCAGAGAAAGGAGGACTGTCCCAACCCTGCAGTTTTCTCAGGGATACAGAGACCCCTCCCTTTCTCCCGTTTTCCAGAGGGAAAAATTTGAGTTGGATCCTTAAATCAGAAGTGGAGCCAGAATCAGGGATGCAGCCTACCTGGAGACAGATTTCTATCTGGAGACAGTCTGCAAATGAGGGAGAGGGCTCCTCTCAGCCTCAGTTTACCCCTCTGTAAAATGGGGCAAGAATCCTTGACTCAGGTTGCCTCACAATGAGCTGGAGGAGACAAAATGCCTGACACATAGTAGGGAGATTCTCAACCACTGGGTGTTTCCCGCCTGCCTCCCAGCCCGGGGGAAAAAGAGGATGGAGTGTGCGTGGTGCAGGTGGTAACCACTTCCATTAGGACTGCTTTCTCCGCCATCTCTCTAGGGCTTGCAACACCCCCATAGGTAGCAAATACCTGCACTGGTATTATGCCCATTTTATAGATAAGAAACTTGAGGCTCAGAGGGGCCAAGTGCTTTGCCCACGGTCACCCATTGGGCCAGGATTTGAGCTCAGGGCCTTTGACATTGCACCAAATTGCTTCTTTTGCCAGGTACTCCAAGGATCCTCTGACTGGAGTGATGTGTAATTTATTGTCTAACCAGGTCACCTCTGAGAATGAAAGGAAGTACTATTAATAATTACGCTGGGACAGTAGGCGTAATCTGGGACTGTCCTGGGCAAACTGGAAAGTGTGGCCATCCTGCCAAAACAGGGGGCTTTGTGCAAGTTACTTCATGTCTCTGCAACATGGACACGATGGCAGTATTGTCCCTATGGGGCTTCCACGGGGATTTAATACGATAATGCATGTAAGTGCTATAGGGCCTAGTATGCCTTAGGTGCTTAGTGCTGCACCTATACCACACAGGCCGTGTTAGGGACCTCTCTGTGCCATGACAGCACCCAGGTCTTCCTGCCTGTCCTCAGGAAGCTTACAGTCAGAGGGGAGTAGTCAGAGGAGGGCACATGAGGCAGGGGTCAGAGATCTCTCTCGCGTCCTTGAGGATGGCATAGGGTCCTGGGTGTGGCTGACTCCCTGCTCCCCATGTGGGGGGGGGGGGACTCAGTAAAGGTTTCAGAGGTGTGACCTTATTTACCTGCTCTGCAAGCCTCCTAGGTGATAGAGCAGGGACTGCTTAAGTAAAACATCTGACACTTACTATTATCCCATTTTACAGATGGGGAAACTGAGGCACAGAAAGGTGAGTGGTGATGGAGGCAGGAAGGGAACCCAGGCTGCCGGGCTCCAGCGTCCCCTGCCTTGACTACCCCACTACACCACTCTGCAAGTGGCCTGCCATGACCCACGCCCCAGTGTAGCTAAGTCTGTCCTGCTGGCATCCCCAAGCCCTGTATCGGGTGGAAAGAAGTGGAGGGGTTGGGAGAAAGGGGGTGGGCATTCCACGTCTGTAAAACTCAAGGTCTAAAGCCCCAGGCATTCAAGGCCTCTGAGAACCGGGCTTCCTGGGTCCCCAAACTCCCCGCAGCGAGTGGCTGGAGGGCCCAGGGGCAATAGTTTATCGGTCCTGGACGCCCCAAGGCCACGGGGGAGCCAGAGGGGGAAGGGTTGGGGGGCCCCAGAGGACCGGAGTCGCCTCCCCCTGGCAGCCCGCACATCCCCCTGCTCGGATCGCCCTGCCCCGGGCGGACGACCGGCAGAGGGCTGGCCCGGCACCCCGCTGCGCCCCCACTGGCTCTGGCCGCCCCTCGGCTGGGCGCGCGAGGACGGTGCCGGGGAGGGGGCCGGCCCCGCCCGCGGGCGGGAGGAGCGAGGCGGGAGGAGGGAGCGCGCCCACACCCCGCCCCCGCCCCGGAGCCAGCCCGCGGAGCCCGCGGCCAGGGCGGCGCAGACCGGCCCGGCGACTCCCCGGCTGCCTGCGAGCCGGGACGCGGGACGCGCGGCCGCCGCCGAGCCCGCCCTTCCACCCGCGCCCCCGGGGCTCTCCGAGAGAAGGTAACAGCAGCGGGGGCGCGGGGCCCCCGGGCCGGGGGGCGTGACGCCGGCTGGGGACCGCGTTGCCCCCGGGGCCGCTGCACCCTCCTAGGCTCCCGGGGCCGGGTGGGGGAGGGGCCGGCCTGGGAAGGCGCGCTCGTGCCAACGGCAAGGCCGGGCGCTGCCGCCGACCCGCGCCAGGACGCTCCAAGTTTTCGGGTTGTTTTGTCACGTTCCCGGCGGGCGGAGGGGACAGAGAATTGGAGGGGGCGAGCGGTAAAGCATACTGCGGGCAGAGGGGCGAGCCGAGGGCCGTCTACGCTGCTTCCTGCGCCGGGGAAGGGAGGGAAGGAACGGGGCGGGGGGGCGCGATGTGCCGGAATGTCTGGCCCCTCGGCGGAGGCCTACGCGGAGAGCGGGAAGTTGGGGGGCTGGGGAGATGGACCAGGCACCCTGCCCCCTCCCCGACCGCCGCATTCCAGGCTGGAGCAGCGGATGAGGTCATCCCGTCCGGTTCTCCTCCCGGCTGGCCACGACAGCCGCTGCCCCTTCCCCCGCGGACCCTCCACGTCCCGCCCAGGGAATGTTTCATGGCTGATGTCCTTCCCGGTCTTCCAGCCCCGCTGCCCTCGGGAGTGTTCTATCCGTGCCCCAAGCATGCAAGACCAGCGAAACTTGAAGCCCCTTGTCTAGACCGGGAAACTGAGGCTCAGAGAGACGAAACGACTAGCTGGGAGGGACCACAGTGACCGAAACGTGGCGTGGGAACTCGAGACCCGCCTCGCCTAGTCGAGGGCTGGTGCGGCTCTAACTCGGGGTGGGCGGGCACGGAGCACGTCTCCCCTGCCCTTTCCCCCTGTCGCCCCCTAATGGCCCACGGTGCTCCCCTTGGAGTAGGAGAACCTGTCCCCGCAGCGTGACTGAAGACAGCTAGCTACGCCTTTCTGGCCTCAGTTTCCCGCTCCCTCCATCTTGAAGCTGCCGGACTTTGAGGGGCACAGGAAGCCGGTCCCCAAGACGTAACCCCTCCTCCCAGGGCCAGGACAAGTTTGGGGAAGCACCCTAACCAAGACAGGGACCGCTGTCCAGCGGCGGGGGTGACGTTAGCCGGCTGGAGGCCGGCAGGGAGAGGGTTCTGTGCACCTGAGCAGTGGCCTCCAGGATGAGACGTGGCGCCGCTTGCGCAGCGGCCTGCGACCAGGTGAACGCCAGGGTGCAGCCGCCCCGCCTCGCGCTCCCCACTGGCACACCGTCCCTGGCCTCCCCCAGACCACATGTGCCTCCACAGCGGCCCCTGTTGGCCTCTCCTAATGAGTGGTCCCTGTCCCCGGCCCCAAATGTTGTCCCTGCGTCCTTCCCACCATGAGTGAGCTGGAGCCATGTGCCCAGGCTCCGATTGTCCTCTACTGGGTAAATACAAGGACTCCAGGGACACTGAGGCTGCATGGCCACCATCTCGCCCAGGTCACAGGCACTGGGTCTGCAGAGCTGTGTCTCCTGCCTCCCCACCCTGCCCTCTCCTGAGCTCAGCGCTGGGTGTCCAACGCCAGCAATTCTTCTCCATTCCTGCGCTTCGCGCAGCCTTGGAGCGTTTGCTACTGATGTTGGTGGAATCCTAGGCAGGCTCCCAGGCACCCCACTTTTTTTGTTATTACACCTACAGCAAATTAGTCTCCTTTCTGAGCCTCGTTTTTTCATCTATAAAATGGGCGTTCTGAGTATTAACAGGTAGTATTCCTAGGCCGGCTTGGGGTGGTGAGCCTTGCGCACCAGGACACTCAGGGCCGGCTGGGCACACCTGATGGCCAGCAATGCCCTGTGGTCAGCGTCAAGTGCCACATGGCTGCCACAAAGTGCCCCTGGAAGGAGAGACCTTAGCGTAACAGTGTTGGATTTGAACCCAGGGCCGCCCGGCTCCAGGATCTGGAGCATCTTTGAATCTTCACCCTCACAACTCCCCTGGGAGGGGACCTGCCCGGGAATGCCATGGGAAGACAGTGCCCTGCCCTGAGCCCCCCAGTGCCGCAGGGTCTGTCTATTGCAGGAGGGAGGGCGGTGGGGGGCTACTATTTGGAGGTGTCCAGAAGCTTTGGGAGGTTGGGGAGAAAGCTGATCTCCCAAGTCAGAGTGGCCATGGGGGTTGGCGGGAGCCCCTTATGCTGGGAGAGGAGGGGCCGCCTCAAGAAGTCAGGGAGCTGGAGGTGAGAGTGAGGTGTCTGTGGCCACATGGCAGACACAGTTGACCCCTCCACGTGACATTTCATAGAGTGACACCCACCTCACCCCCAGTGCCTTCCCCCAGAGACTCATCCTTAATCTCTGCTGATCAGGGAAGCCTGGCCCTGGCCGCGCACCCGCCAGTAACCTTGGACAGGTCCCTTCCCTCTGAACCTCGCTCTCCCTGTAAGATGGGCTGACCCTCCAGCTTTGCGGGGTTGTTGAGACTCAGTTGACGTCATGTAATGGCTGGCCAGCTGCAGAGCGCTTCATAACTTCAGCAAACATTCCACGAGGACGAGGACGGCTCAGAGCTGGCGCCCCGGGTGCCAGGGAAAGGGATGATTCAGAACCACCCCCCAGGGGAGGAGTTAGGGTTGGGGGAGGATCAGATGGTGGGAAGGGAGGAGAATGTAGTCAGAAAACAAAGCAAGCTTTGTCCTGTTGCCGTCTTTGTTTTTATCTTGTTATTGAACCTATTTTGAATTTCAAATAACATTAGAAGGGCAGTATTGAGATTGGAGGTGGCAGCAATGGTTCAAAGAAAAAAAAAAAGGTTGAGACTCAGATCTAGGTGTTCTTGTTAAGAATCATTATCAACTTTTATCACCTGAGGTCTCAGGCCTGTGAAGGTAAATGACCTGCCCAAGGTCACACAATGAGGACACTGAGTCCCCAGCCTCCCCACACCACTCTCAGCAGGGGGCAGGGGTGATCCTTTGGCATGGGGGTTATCACGGAGAGCTCCTGTGATTAAACCAGCATTGATTTGGCACCTGCGAAGTTCAGAGCGGAAGCCGGGTGCTGGAGGGAGGGAGGCAGGCAGGAAGATCCGGGCAGCCGCCCCACCCTCAACATGTGTTCCCAACCTGAGGAGACAAGACTGGGCTCTGCGAGCCAGTCAAGGGCTTATGTGAGTCAGCGGCTCTGAGTTCAAGTCTCAACTGGCTTTCTCAGTCTGACCTTGAGCAAGCTTGCCCTCTCCGGGCCGCAGGAACTCCGGACGTCGGACCACAGGGTCACAGGTGCTCTCCAGCCTGGACTTTCTGATACTACACGGGAGGGTGTCAGACCAAGAGATGCTTACAGAAGGCTGGGGCTGGGGAGGGCATGGGGGGAGATCAGGAAGGCAGAGTGGATGAGGAATAGCTAGCTTTTGGCACCAGCTGAGCTTTTTTCCAAAACTTGCTCCCTGACAACAAGGGTCCTACATCCATCCATTTGACAGACGATGATAAAGCCCTTCCCTGCGGCCTTCTCAGACTTTTGAATATGCTCATGCATGGAGGCGGCGGCTGGGAAAAGCCACTTCTGACTGCAGGATCCCTTTTCCCGAAGCTGGAGGGTTCTGGAACTTCGGCTCTGGCTGTTTACACAGCAGTTCACGAAGCCTTGCCAGGCAGGCACCTCCTCCCTCCCTCCCTCCCTCCAGGCTTCTCTGGGTGGAAGAGATTTTGGCCCACAGAGAAGGGACTAGCTCAGTAGGCCAGCAGGAGGCAGTACAGCCTGGGGCTGGGTGGGGGGGCTCTGGGATTTGGGGCTCTGTTTCACCGTTTCCTTCTCTGTAGCCTCAGGCAAGTTGTTTACTTCTTTGTGCCTCAGTTTCCCCTCTAATACCATGCCTCCCTCCGGGCTGTTGTGTGGGTTTAAATGACGATGCAGGTGAGGCATCGGCATTTTAAGCGGGCCCTGTAGAATGATCTTTTCTATTTCTTACCACTCCGTGAATTTTTGGTGCCCCACTCAGGCAGTACCTGCTCGGAGACAACCACAATTCTGATTTCTATTGCCATGGATTGGATTTGCCTGTTCCTGAACTTTCCATACATGGGCCGACACATGGCTTCCACTCTGCGTTTGGTCGGTGCTCTCCGTCTGTGTTGTTGGGGGGACACGTCTGTCCACTTTAGCTGCTAGTGTTTAGACCCAGGATCTCCCTCTGCACCAGGCTGGCCTGCCATCCGTCACTGTCCTGTCTTCCTTCCAGGTAGGAGAGGAGCCGACCACCCTGGAGGCATATCTCTTGCCTCCTCTGCTCTTGGATAGAACATCTATAGCTGCTTCCACGGGGCTGGGAGCCGGGCCTCAAGAAGAGACAAGCATGGACACCCCCCAGGCCCAGCATTCTCGGGCAGCACCTTAGGAGAGCCTCCAACCACCACCTTCCACGCAGGGGGGAAGGAGCTGAGAAGTGGGCCCTGAGCCCAGCCCCCTCCCTCCCTGGCCCCTGGTGGGCATGGACCAGCAGTTGTGAGCAGCCAGAGCTGATGCCCGGCCCCCAGGGGGCCGGAGGAGCCCCCACCATGAGCCTGGGCAAGCTCTCACCCGTGGGCTGGGTGTCCAGTTCGCAGGGAAAGAGGCGGCTGACTGCAGACATGATCAGCCCTCCGCTGGGGGACTTCCGCCACACCATGCACGTAGGCCGTGGTGGGGACGTCTTCGGTGACACCTCCTTCCTCAGCAACCATGGTGGCAGCTCCAGGAGCACCCATCGCTCACCCCGCAGCTTCCTGGCCAAGAAGCTACAGCAGGTGCGGAGGGTCGGGGTACCACCCCGACGGATGGCGTCTCCACCCACGCCTTCACCGGCTCCGCCCGCCATCTCCCCCATCATCAAGAACGCCATCTCCCTGCCCCAGCTCAACCAGGCCGCCTACGACAGCCTCCTGGTGGGCAAGCTCAGCTTCGATGGCAGCCCTGCTGGCTCCGTGGATGGCCGCTCTGCTTATGGTGAGGGCCTGGGTTATTTGCCCATTTTTCAGATGCTGAGGCTGAGGCCCAGAGGGGCTCAGGTGGCTCTACCAAGCCTCCAAGTGAGCTCTTTTCCCCATAGTCGCTTGGTCTCTCCATGGAGGTCAGGCTCAAACCCGAGACTGTGGGGGGTGGGGAGGTACAGTAAAGAGGTGGGAACCAGCTCACTCCCCAAAACATGGGAGGTTGGGAGTGAGGAGATGGGGTTTGGGTTCCGACTGCCCCGAACTTGCTGTGTGACCCAGGCAAGTGCTTCCCCTGTCTGGGACCTCGGCTGGGCCAACCGCCCCCTTTTTGTCCCCTCGGCCAAAGCAGCCCCTCACGTCAGAATGATATCATGGTGAGGCTGCGAGGCTGGGCTCTGGATTCCAGCGCTGGTTCTGCCTGATTTCCAGCAAGCTGACTGATCTCTGCAAGTTCAAGTCCTCGCCCGGGTAATGAGTCCCTCAGGGTCTTGCTAAAATTCGGGGAGATTGTACATGTACCAGGTGAGGCCCAGAGGCTGGTACATAGTAAGTGCCCAGGGCACTTGGGCTGTAGTTGTTATTTGAACAAAGCTTCCTGTAACTTGAAAAATTTGGCAAACCACTTACAGGGACACAAGCCAGTGGCCCTTCCTGTCCTGCCAGAAGTGCCACCTCGGCTGAGCAGGAGCAGCTCACCTGGGAACCATGGGCCCCTGCTGCCACCTGGTGGCCATTCCCTGCCTTGTGGCTTCACCCCACCACTGGGCAAATGCTCCTGCCCCAGGGGGTTGATGAGAACCCCACAGAGGCCTACTCCACAGCAACCCCGTTATATCTCAGGCCAGGTAGCCCGGAAAGCAGGGGATGGTCCAGATGACCTCTGGAAGGCATGTGCCTGTCCTTGGAGTCTGATTTCTGTGCAGTCAGACCCCAGCTTCTGGTTCCACCCCGTGTCCACAAACCAGCCCACATACTATCGGCCAGCACCAGGACAGGGAACCAGGGACCAGGGCCAAGTTCACAGTTGGGACTGAAAGGAGATTTGTACTCCAGGTTTGGCTCTACCTCATCAAACACTATGGCCTTGGGCCGGGCCCTTCTCTTCATCCCAGACTGACCCTCACCTTCCTCATCTGCAAAACCCAAACGAGGATTATGACAATTTTCAGCTTTCAGGGTTGACAGGAGGATCACACGAGTGACTCCCCCCACTGCCACTCTGGGTTCACTGTACTGGAGAGATGGGAGAACAGAGAGGGGAGTGACTTGCCAGAGGCCACACAGCAAGCCAGGGCTGGTCCTGGCTGTCCCTGCCCCGATCCCTGGTCAGGGACCCCAGCTCTGATCCCTCTTCCCGTTTCCCTTCCAGGCCTGGACTCTGGGTTCTGCACCATCTCCCGCCTGCCCCGCCCGGAAAAGCCTCGCGATGGAGACCGCGATAGCTCCTTCCCGCCGGAGCCCGAGCTGCGCCGCTCTGACTCCCTCTTGTCCTTCCGCCTGGACCTTGACCTTGGGCCCTCTCTCCTCAGCGAGCTGCTAGGGGTCATGAGCCTCTCAGAAGCCCCAGCAACGGAGACCCCCGCCCCTGCCACAAACCCCCCAGCCCCTGCCGCAAACCCTTCAGCCCCTGCAGCAAACCCTCCAGCCCCCGCCACGAGCCCCCCCATTCGTGGACGCTGTCCCAATGGGGTAGCTGCTGGGTTGGGCCCAGTGGCTGAGGTGAGGGCCAGCCCTGTGGGTGAGGGTCCCCGAGTAGCCGCTGACCTGGCTGTCGGCAGGCACTGGGGAGCGGGCCTGGGGGGCAGCCGCCACTGTGCCGAGGGGGATGCTCGGCGCGAGCTGGCGCCAGTGCTGCCCCAGGCTCGGGCCTCCTGGGAGAGTCTGGATGAAGAGTGGGCGCCCCGGGCAAGCAGCAGGGCGCCCGTGCCCAGCACAGTACAAGCAAACACCTTCGAGTTTGCTGATGCTGAGGAGGATGACGAGGTCAAGGTGTGAGCGGCTGGGGCATGGGCTCTGGAACCCGCCCGGCCTTGGGGCACCTCCTGTGAAGAGCCCAGGTGCAGAGCCAGCCCCTCCTCACCTAGCAGAGCTGGGTCCTGCCAGACCAGGGAGGGGAGAAGCCAAGTTACCCACAAGCCCCTCCCCGTCTCTGCAGGACAGACATGGAGGAAGGACAGGGAAGACTCTTGCTCTGCCACCTAGGTGCTCCCGGTGGTCCCTGCCAGGCTGACCACCTCCCCCCACTGCCACTCTGCACCCGGTGGCCATTCCTTAGGCGCCACCCCCACTGGCTGGAGGGCCCAGCCTCACAGTGCTGCCTTTGTGCCCGACGAAGCTGTCCTTCTTGGGTGGGGGGTGGGGAGTGTACCACACAGGGCCATTGTCTTGCCTCCCAGAGGGACCGCCTGCCCCCAGCAGCTCGTCCTGGAGCTGCCCCCAGAGGGTCCCTGCTGCACCCCTGAGATCCCTGTCCCAGGCTGCTTCCCCGGCATCCCCACCCCAGCCTTGCACTTGTCCAGAACCTTCACGGAAAGGTCAGGTGTGACCTCACAGGGAGGATCCCACCTTCCCGGGCACCCCAGACCTGCTTTCTGGGACGTGATTAAAAAAGGCTTTTTTAATAAAAGGTGTCCTGCAAGATGCTTGAGGACCTGGTAGAACCGTGTCAGCTCCACTTGCTTAAACACCCTCCCCTTTGGGAAGCCTCGGACCCCCCTCAAGGCCCCCAGCAGGGGAGGGGAGTGGACAGCCTAGGGAGGTAATAAGTAACCAGGCTGGAATGCCCCTGAGATAAGAGGCCCAGGTGGGGGCCCTTATCAGCAGTTCCGGGAACAGCTCCTGGAGCTGGTGTCTGCCTGTAATCCCAGCCTGGCATTTGTTCAGGTGATAATAGGGGCCAGGAGACAGGAGCAAGTCCTCAGAGCTGTTGGGAGCATGTCTCAGCCTTCCCACTTGGCAGTCCTGTGTCCTTGTGCCTCAGTTTCCTCCTCTGCATCATGAATATGTCAGGAGCATTAAAATGCATGGGAAGCACTAACCACAGTTTCCTGCCACAGAAGGACTCGATAGAAATGGAGTATTTTGTTTGCTCTTGGCCTTGGGGGAGGAAAATGGGATCCGAGGGGTAGGTGGACAGACCCAGGACCGAAGAGCTGTTGATCCTGCTGTGACTCAGAAGAAGGCTCAGGACAGGGGATGCCGGCTGGGGGTCTTTTGTTCGGATGAGGTGCGGCCCACTCAGTCAAGCTTGAGGAGGACACCTGGAACCCGTCCCTCACACTCAGGTAGCTCAGGTGGCTGTGGCCCAGCCTGTTGGGAAAGGTCACCTGGTGCCCATCTGGCAGCGTCACGTTGAATTTGTCAGTCTCAAAGGTTATGGGGGAGTGGGGGAGGGTGTCAAGGAGACAAGAGGCCCTGGGAATGGGCCAGGGCAGTGCCTGATGGCCCAAACAGTGCCAGCATGCATGTCCTACCCTTTGGGCTCTCCCCTTGACACCCTCCCCAGACTCCTTTCCCCTTTGACCTCATCTTGACCTCTGACCCTGGACTGAAGCACCGGTGATTTTCCCGTTGCTCTCGTCCCCAGCTGCTGCCATCCCTTGTGTTGCAGACAATGATGGATTCACTGAAGCGAGGGCTGAAGGGCAGGTTCAGCTTATCTGACGCCTGGCCCAGATTAATTGCAAAGCTGCAGGGGAGGGCATAACAGGTGAGGTTTGGAGGCCAGGTTTGGGTAAAACAGCTTGGGTTAGAGGTTTTCAGTTTGACCATACTAAGCTGGAAGAATCACCAAAAAAACGTTGTGTTGATTAAGATCTGTGCCTTAAAACAAGGGAGGTGACAACCTGGTCAGCCTTGGCACTGTCGTAGCACATTCCATTTGAAACAGAATGAGGCTGTTGACAGGAGGGTAACTGATAGTGATAGCTTCTGGAATTGAGGGTGTCTATCCTGAGACAGGGTATTGCCGTCCTTAGATATCTGAGGACGTATTAAATTTGGCTGCAAACAGTAGCCCACCTAAGGTGGTGAGCTCCCTGTTACTAGAGGTATGCAATCAGGGGTTGTGTGACTTCTTGGCAGATCTCTACAGAAGCCTGGGTTAGACCATCAGGGTCCCCGAGAGCAGGACATTCTGGGTCGTGGGGTGCCTTCATTCAGGGGTCTCAGACCAGGGGTATCCCACATTTCTGCAAACTTGAGGGACCCAAGTAAGAGAAAGGAGTCACTTTTCTCTTGGCTCTTACCCCAATGCATCTGCCCACCCCCTCCGGAACCAAAAGAGGATAGAGAGCAGTGCCAAGACCCGCTGACACCGCTCTGCACACGTGAGAGCCGCGCTGATCTGTGGCTCAGAGGTGTGATGGTGCCTCTGGTTCCAATCACCGGGACGCAAGCCGGTGGGGGGGAGGGGGGGAGGGGGCACTTGGCGCCCCCTGGTGGCTGCCCTGGTTTGATGTGCATGAAAGGCCGGCCCCTGGCCGCTCAGCTGGGTGGAGGGTGGTGTCTCTGGGGCTTTGGGCTTTCAGTAGCAGCACCTGACCTGTAGGAGCCGGGCAGAGTTCCAGGGGCTTGTCCACCTGCACCTTCAGTGGCTGTTGGGGCCAAGGAACAGAGCGTATGGCGTCAGCTCTGAAATTCTGTAGGTCCCCAAACCCCGCCTCAGACTGAGGCAGGTCCCCACGGCAGGGGTCGGGGAGCGGGATGGGGAAGGAG